GAATTAATAAGGAAAACAATAAGCAAACCAAAATAAACAATGAACGTGTGATGAGTGGGCATCTTACTGATAATATACAAAAATTGCGTGGGCAATGCAGAACAGGTTTGCACAGCGGTTCACAATAGCCTGCAGATTGTGTGTGCTACTGGCAGTCTGCACAAACTGGGTGGCCATGAAAGAAAGATGATGTTCAGTTAGAGCTACTAATGATAAGAATTAAAAAATTTTAGTAACAGTAATATTATTGTAAATGATGATAATAACAAATAATTTTAAATGTCGAAAACATATACAGTGGGCCAAAAACTAATTTTGTCAACTAGGGCTGCAACTAACGATTATTTCGGTTAATCAGTTGATTAGTTGATTAATAATTAGATAGCCCAAGGTTCCTTAAAATTTTTTTTTTTACAAAATTTAATGAGGTGAGATTAAAACTTTTCCACTTCAGGAGTTCTAGATAGAGCATCTGTAAAGACAAAAAAATGTTTTTAAATCTTAAATGCAAAATGTTTGTATTTTTTTTTTTTTCATATAATTAATGCTCTAAGTCAGTAAATCTATCAGCTAAAGGTGTATTGTAGAGTCTATACTCCAATCAACAACAAATCAATGACTAAATTAGATGAAGATTATTTCAATAAGCAATTAATTACGTTACATTTTTTCAGCCCCAACGGTGAACCACTGATTGTGCAAGTTCTATTACAACAGAAGATAAGAGAGAAGTCTTAAATATTCATTATAGGTACACTTCACTGTATGAGAGACAAAATAAAAAAAAATCAGGGAAATCACATTGTATTGCACAGGATTTTAAAATTTATTCTGAATTATGGTGGAAAATAACTGTTTAGTCTATAACAAAAGTTTGACTCAATGCTTTGTAGCCTAACCTTAAAGATCCAACGATGTAATTTTATCTCTCATAGTTGAAGTGGAGGAAAGTAGTAGTAGTTAAAGTATGAGGAAAATTACAGACCTCTCTCATCTTTGTAAGCAGGATAATGTGCACAATCAGTGGCTGACTATGTGCTTTGTTTGTCCCACTGTATTAATTCCAAAGTGCTAAAAACATTTAAAAAAAATCGAAATTATAAAAGTTAAATTTAAAATATTTAACATCAATCATGAAAACTGGAAAAGCTAACTTTCTGACAGACAATAGCTCAGGAAGCACCTGTCAGACATTCAATAAATTCAAACTTTTAACAGCTGACACATATTTTAAACCAAGGTAGGCATATAATAATTTAATACACATTAACTGCTTCATAGGAGCGCACTCTGAGATCCACAATATATTTTTTCTTCCTTTTTTTCTTTCTCCCTAAATCTCCTTTTACAGGCTCTGTGATGATGTCTTGTTCTCTAGTCCCTGTTAAAGTTCTGCAGGTTGTAGTGCTGTTGCCTTGCAACAAGAGGGCCTTGGATTTGATTGCTGGGGTTTTCTGCATGGAGTTTGCATGTTCTCTCCATGCAGGCATGGATGTGTGTATGGTTGTATGTCTAATTGTTGCCCTGCGATGCACTGCCTACATGTCCAGGGTGTTATTTTGCCTTTCGCCCATAGACTGCTGGAGATGTCTGTCATTGAACTTATATGCATCCCCTGCTACAGTGCCTTCCAATATTTTTGTTTTGATAGTTTGCAGCTGACCTTCAAACAGGCTAAACATTGATTTCATTCAGTTGGTTTCAGGTTACATTATGTTTAACTGTAACAGTTACTGCCTTCAGTACCTTGTTGAAAAGAGTATGTCTGAAAACTGTCATTGATTTGGTAGTAGGGTCAGTGTAGTGACTATTTGTACAAAACTAAAATTTGAAATTCTAAGAACTTAAGACGTGATCAAAGCAAAGGGTGAATTCAACTCAAATAGCCACCTGATGCTCCGTGGATTCTGGCTTATGCAGTCCAAAAAGGGTCAAAATCCAGTTCTCTGCTTGCTTTATTTCTCCATTATGACAAACAGGGTACAGACTTCACAGGATTCTTATTGCTCTCACTCTGATTCCTGCACCTTGTCTCTGATTGACTGACTGATTGATTGACTGGCTAAAAACTGAGAACTTGTAAAAAAACATATGACCACCCACGTGCATAATGAGCTACCTAAGACCTCCCTATTTATACTGTGAAACACCAACATGCCAAGCTAAACTAATTAACTGAATCACTAAACAAATCTTATTCTAAATAACAAATCAAATGAAATAATCAAAATTCTAAGATTTAACTAAAAATGGAGAAATAGCTCCTAGAGTCAGCATCACAAGACATCATTTACATTATAATATCTAATGTCTTCATCTAATAAATCCTTGTATGCTAGCTAATTGAGTATATGACCACTGTAGCAATCTAGTATTAGTTAGCAGTATCTTACCCTTTTAGCTTCACTTGCTTTTACTATTTATTAATACCCCTCCATAGCTTCCTTCTCTCTTGTACTTATAGTGCTTCCTCTTGGCCATCTTGGTTCACTCTGAGCCTGACAACACCTACAAACTAAATAGCTGTTGTGTTTCACTTTTATTGTAGGATATCGTTTTATTGTCTTCATGATGGTTTGGCTCATCGCTTAGCTCGAAAATCTCTGACACCTTCACTGAACAGATTCCAAGATTAAATTCCATCCTTCTGGGCTTTTAGTATTTATTTTAGGGCTGAAACAAATAATTAGACAAATTTATAATAATAATTTAGCAATCGATTAATCGTTAAACGAGACTCTAAAATATGCTTTTAGCTGACAGAGCAACCCACTTAGAGCAGTAATTATATCAAAATTGTAAAAGAAAATATGTAAACATTTTGCATTTAAGATGAAAAGAACTTTTTCGTTTGTCAGTACTTTAAATCCAGCACTCCACAAGTGGGAACATTTTAGTTCTACCTGGTTTAAAATACTAAAAATCTTCTTTAAGGATTCTTTGGTTGTCCGATTATTAATGAATTGATTCAAAAAATAATCGACAGATTACTCGATTTGCAAAATAATCGTTTTATTGCATTTAAAAATGTACTGGATTTTATTTAAAGACATCAGAATAAAAGGGGCTAAATTCAGCAGGGACTCTTTTAGACTTTTTGGGGGGAAAAGTTAAAACTATGTATTTCAAGTTAAAAGAATACAAAACGTTTATTTGTTTATCACATAGAAAGTTGAATAATGTTCAACTGCAGTTTTAACATCCTACTATACAAAAACATTTCAAGGGGTATGAAAAGTTTTACGACAATCTTATAAATGTTATCAATCACGATTTCCCCTTGGTCTTCGTTCAATACAACATCTCTATGTAGTTAAAGAGGGCAGTAAATTAAGTCATTGCACAAACGAGAGCAAGGTACACGAGTTACAGTCATACAGTAAATAGGATTAGGTTAATAAGGTGATAGGAACACAGCTCCCCTGATAATGCAACATAAACCCTGACTTCGTGTTCTTCTCTTCTCAGTGGTGTATGTGGTCCTCAGTGAAATCTTTCCCATGGGAGTCAGAGGCAGGGCCGTGTCGGTCGTGTCGGCAGTGAACTGGGCCACAAACCTGCTCATTTCCATGACATTCCTCACCATCACAGGTTTGTATGTTAGTAAATGTGTTATATCAAGATTGCATGAGTTACCATAAAGCTAGAGAGACAGATAATCGGTAGTTATACAAACAGCTTCTATGCGCAGTAGTCATTAGTAACAAATGATTTACGACACAACTTTGCCAAAGGGAAGGGAAAAGATTAGTTTCTGCAAGATTTGTAAAATCCCTGATTTCAGATCAGACAGCTTGGTTCTATATCAAGTTATGTTAAACCTTTATGACAACCATTTATTCTGCAGTTTTCAATAACAAAGTCCAACAGTTATTTTATTAATCTAAAAAAAAAGTGGTTTAATATCAGATGAATATCAAAAAATACATTTTTTGTTTATCAAACGATATATCAAGGACAGTTTTCTTTAGGCCACCCGACCTTCTTGTAGCTAATGATTCTCCCCTTTATTCATTTAACTTCACTGAGGTGCTTCATTCCCAAGGTTTTCTCCGCTATTAGTTTTCAGTGAATAGATTTTTAAGGGGCTTCTTGTATGTGGAGTTTTTATTATTTTTTAGTTAATTTCAAATTTTCCCAAAACCTTCTGCAACATAAATTAGAATTCATGATGAATCCTATGATTATGGGCCGGCTTGGTCCTTCTGCAGCAAAGCGTCTCTTAAACCAATGATACTTCCACCTCCATGCTTCAGTCTATATGTGTTTTTTTTTTTTCATAAAATGCTTTAGGTTCAATAAATTTTTTAATTCTTTTGACTTCTTCCTCCTCTTCCTGCATAATGGGGGTTAGATTGCCACCAGGGGTGTTAATATGTACTTGAAAACTTGCATTTTCACAGATAAAACAATGTTCCATCTGTGAGGATGTTGGCTATCCATGAGTTAAAAACAACGAACAGATAAAGAGCATAAATGTATTCATGCTAATTTATATCTAGTTTCAGACACCTACTCATACATCTTTTAGAGACAACTTACTCCATGTGTCCTAATATTTTCACTCTGTATATTTCTTGTGGTTAGGATTTCCATGAGAGATGTTTTACACATTGTTTTGCATAAATTAACAGGTTCTGTTTAGTTTTAGTTCAGATTATATTATCTATCATTCCAAAGGGCTGAAAAGGAATTCTTTGGTCTAATTTATTACTGCCTGTGACACTGATTAATAATAATTTTAGAATATACCATATATAATCACATTTTTACCATTTCCCAAGTGAATAAAGTGTGAATGTGTCTTTTTTATCTCCAGAAAAGATTGGCGTTCCCAACGTAATGTTTCTATACTCCGCCATGAGTTTTGTTCTATTGGTGTTTGTCATCCTCTGTGTCCCTGAGACCAAGGGCCGGACACTGGAAGAGATATCAAAAGAGCTGGCTAAGAAGTAAGAAGTGAAAGCCTGCATGTCTGCTAGAGGGTTGATTTGTAAGATAAAATACTTATTTGTTCTGTTTCCACTTTCTCTGAATCAACAGGAAGAGCTTTGAGGTAAAGCTTTTCAGGCAGGCACAGCCCCAGGAGAGCCTGATCAACAGGACCCCATCGACAGAGGGCCCCAGAAGCATCTAAATACCATTTGCAGCCATCAAAATCTGCACCAGATGTAACAAAATTTGAGAAACAACTGTTCATCCGTAAAGTGTTAGCTGGTCCAGATATTAAAGCTCAATCATTAGGCTGTTGGAATAACAGGAATAGGAAGAAGCTGTAAAGTGAGATTTGGGAGATTTTCTAAGATTAGGTCAGCTCAGGGTTCACTAATATTGTATTTTTAATCACCTTTTGGTTTTTTTTACTTGAGTTTTATTTTTCATTCATTATTCTTTTGCAAAACAAGAAAAAATAAACTTTAAAGGTACTTTTAATGCTGTAACTAATCATTTCAAGGTCCAATGAAAAAATGTTTCATTTGTAAATGAAAACTATTTCTAGGATGGTTTTTGTAGAACAGAAAACCTTTGCTGTAACAAGAAACAGGCAGCCAGCAGTTGTTTAATGGTCTTTTTATTTTCATACAGAATACAAAAGTTTTAAGTGTCACAAATTATTACTCACCACTGATTCAGAAAGTACTCAGTCACACATAAAAACCAAACAGGTCTGGATTTATCATCTTAAGAAGGAGATGCTTAAGTCGTCCACATACAGTATACGTTTTTTCTCAGATAGCTTAAACCGAGCATTCAGCCGTTTTGCATCTATGATAATAAAAACACTGCTTTCTGTTCCGGGAGTTCGTTTTTCATGCTGTTTCAGAGCTACCTAAATGTTTTTCACTGTAAAATCTTTAAGTACATTTCGCTGAAAAGTGTTACAACTCTCCACAGGGTGATTGTTTATTTTCTAATGTACTGTTTCACATTAACTGTCTGCTACTTTAAGCCTTTTAATGAGTTTGTTTTCTTTTTGGGGGATAATAAAAATGGGCTTTGAAAGTTAATGAAATGCAATTGAATCAGTTTATTAACACTCAAGTACTGGAAAAAAACCTGCATTAAAATTCACATTTAAAAACAAACAGGAGATAGATTACACTAGTACCCTTTCAAACATTAGAATAAATATACACTATTTTAGCAAGAGAGAAAACAACTATGAGGAAAGGGCGTAAAGTAAGAGGTGTGTCCATTTTGAACAAAGGGCAGATAACCAAATGTTAAAAAGGAAAACCTAAGAAAGGATGCATTTAGAATCTCATCTAAATTTGTATACATTCCTATGTGTTGTTTGAATGTGTTGGCTTCAACAAAAATGGTACATTATAGGATGGATGTCTTGTCTCTATAGAAGGACGGAGATTTTCCATCGATAAAACACAAAGGGAGAACTTGTGTATAATATGATGTATCTGTCAAGATTTTTTTTCCTGTGTCCATGCAGAAAGACACCCATAGTAATTATCTTTCTCCAACTCCAATAAGCGTTAAACGAGTCCAGTTCCCGTCCAGTCTGTCCGCTGCTTTTATCCGTCCATGGATAAAGGTGCTACTCGCATGGATTCCCTCTGTACTGTTTATTTGCAGCGGGGCTTCTGACACTCATACAGTATTGGATAGATGTGTTCCACAGCAGCTGCGACGTTCTGCACATTTGGTCCTTAACATGAGGGGCAGTGAGAAATGTGCGACAGCATTAAAATATATTTAGATGGTAATAAGATATATGCAGTTAAAAGTTAATCATTTCAGTAATACAAAGTGAAAATCATTCATGAAATTCAAATAATTTATTCTTATAATTCTAGATTAAAGCTGGGAAGATAAATATAAAGGAAATAGAAATAACAGCTAACTGAGTAATGTGTGCAGTAGATGCACTCGCAGCTCCTTTGGTGTAAATTACTCCATATATGTGGCATATAAGCTATTTGTCTATGGCTCTGGTTAGTTGTAATTAAAGCCTATGCTGCTAAAAAGCAACCTTCAAGTTATCAGAATAGTTCAGTCTAGACTCTAGAGCGTCTCATCTTTCTCTTCAAAATTCACCATAAAGTTTAGGTCAAAAGAGTTTAATGGTCCTCAAGCATATTAATTAGGACAAAGCCACTGGACAAGCCAGAACAGTTTCTATTCCAGCTATAAAACTCCCAATTTTTCCAGCTTATCTCACTTATTTACAGTTTTGTCATCTTTTCAGGACTGAAACAACATTGGAAAGCTGATCTAGCTCAGACACGAGGTTTGACAGATGGATACTTTTAGTCCAAATCATCTCCATCAAGCTTCTCTATTATGGAAGAACCAGGTGCTCTGACTGGAGCAGGTGAATTTGCATCCAAAATCAATAATGACTATAGAAATGAAACACTGGAGCTGAAGCTACTTTGATCATGTGCTTCTCCACTCATCCTCCAGACACTGAAACCTTGATATATCCAAAGATTTTTAAAATGAGAATTTGCAGTCTCAAAGCTACAACTGTCACTGTTCCTTCCTTTAAAATGACATGAATACAGCAAATTGTGCTGCAGTCATTGTGCTGAAGTCAGCCGCCTTCTCCATGATCATACAGGTAATAAGGTGGCCCTAACATTTCTGCCCTAAAAATATTTTTTTTTGTCAGTCTAATATATTTGTAGCCAGTTTAACTTTCTTATATGAGCTAAAAATAAAGTTTTTCATAATTTTCTAATTTATTTATTTACCTGAAACCACTGATAGTCAATAGCACCATGATTTGTGACACAACTTTACTGGTTTGCATACTGCAAAAAAACAGTAAACTTTATATTTAGTACATCCATTGCTGTAATACAGAGATGTATTAAGAAACTTCTAGTAAAAGAATAAAAGTGTATTGCTACCACATCCCAATCCCTTAATCTTGTGTTATAAATACAGGAGGCCAAGGGTTATTGGCATGTGTGAGTGCGTGGTCATGTGAAAGTAACAGACCTGTCACTGTGAGGCTGCCCGTAGAAAACACCTGGACTGTAGCCTTCAGATTTTTGATTCGATAAGTAGCAGCAGGATGGAGCTCAGGTTCATAGCTGACAAACAGTAAAATGTACAAACTTAAAGGATACAGAATAAACAAAAAGACTTAGAAGCAACAATACATATTTGACTTTGGCTTTGTACAAAAAAAAAGGCCACTAGAGGGCGATATTTATTAGCAAATATTGCAAAACAATCTTATTGCAGGCTGGCAAATTGAAATAATTACAAGTTTCAATGTGGGGAAAAAAAATCTAAATTAATGTCAATGAAATTAGCTAAAAGCAGGAGAAAAGTGAAAACAGCATATTTGGGACTGAAATGTGAGATGTAAAGAGTCCAACAATAAAGAGTATTAATGATGTGATAATAATTGTGTGTTACCTGGCAATGGGCCGGTTGTTAGTTGTAAAGTTTATAAGATGCACTGCGAACGGCATGGAGCACACTGCGAGCACGTTCACAACTCTGAAAGCTGAGAATCTCACCTGCATAGACAAGGAACAGATCAGTTTATATGCAAGAAAACTGCCGGAAGCATCGTTTCTGTGAAGATCTCTACGGTTAACCAATGGTAAATCTAAGATATGTAAACAAAACATCGGAATCGGTGGTGTGGGAAGTTTTATGGATGGTATTTGAGCCGGACAATAACTTTACTCCGATTCTTGTGAACCTTAATTTAAACTAAATCAAACAATATGAGTACCAGTAAGCAACCCTTCTCTGAAGTTGTGTTTCATTAAATAAGAGGCATGTTTGACAAGTAAAAAGACAAATCATGATCTTATTCCTCAGTCACTTGATGTATGTCTTTATTTCTGGTTGCTGTTAAGTGCCTTGCTTCCTGAAAGCAGCTTTAATGGATTCTCAAACTGACCAAACGACTCATAAGAATAGTAATGGAAAGAAAAACTCACAAAATTGTTTATGCTTTTTTAAAATTCAGGCCAACTTTGGCTGAATATTGCATTAGAAATTTTTGTAATGGAGATCAGTTAAGAAGCAAGGCGATCAACCTCTCACACCTACATTTTACCTTTACTCCGGAGACATTCCCATAATCACAAAAACAGCAACAATTAGCTGTATATAAGCGTTCAACTCATGTATAAGTCCGAGCAATTTTTGAATTTAAAAGAATCTGATTCCTCATTTTGATTTTGGTTCTTTACGATTTTTTTAAGAAGAAGAAGAAAATTTCTTGTTTTAAATAAGCCGGCTAACCGGAGTTCTGTCAGCCTGAAATAGTCTGAACTTTTAAATGAGGTTTAATTCCTCAAAAATCTTTTTGTAAACGTTACTATCAATTATCAACCTGCTATTTTCAACCAGTATATATATATTGAACCTATGAACTCTAATATAATCTAATACATGTTCTAAAGATAGAAATACATTTTCATATGAAACGTTTTGTTTAAAACCTCATAAAAAAACAGGTTTACATATATCCTTTTTTTTAGGCTTCAGGTACTAATGTTGTCTAAGAGAGTATTATTACTTCCTTTCTGATGCCGGTGCAATGCCAGACCGAGTGTCTGAGCTGTAAGAGAAAGCAGCGCAGCAGGAAGGCATCCTGACAGAGTTTATATCCTCAGCACCCTTTACTGAACCTCAGCTCTACTCCAAACACGTGGAAGCAGTGACATTTTGTGGAAAGAGAAACGATCAATTTCATACTCCATTATTCAGTTAATGGGGTTGATTATATGATTCCAAATTAACTAAAATGCAGATAATTAGGCCGAACATTATTCTGTCAAAAGGATTTTCATTCCATCCAGACATTGAAGGAAAAGAAGCAGCTATCTGTTAAAATGTGAAGTAAGTAAAAAAAAACAAAAAAAAACAGGAAAAGGTTTCACTCTCGCTGCAGAAGCTGCACTACTATTTTAGCCGAGGAACGAACTCCGGAAGATGCTCTCACTCGGACTCTGGTGGCAGGGATTAATTATGCCGTCCTTTGCACTATGTAGTAGCCGCCATTCAATATGGCCCCTCCAGTCAAACGATAGCCGAATGGCAGCCCACTTTCATGCTAATCCCAGCAAAATCCCCTCCAACTTTCAGCCACTGGCTTTCTCCTTGGTGTGCATTTTCTTCACTCTAACTCCACCCTTTCACTGAATTACAGGGTCTGACCAGGAGATGACGCTTCTCTTTAGGGTCTAAATGTCCAAAAATCATGACAGAAAAAATATTTTAGTACAACGGTTGATGTTTAAAAAGGAATTTTAGGGGAATTGTAGGGGACCAGCCAAGGGCCCATCAAGGAAAGTGGGGAAATTTTGAATGGCTACTACTGTATAATCCCATCGCCATGGTCGCAGCTAGATGCCTGATAATCTCCTTAATTAATTTTAAACCACACTTTTAAATAGTGCAGTGCAAACAGCTGCAGCTGAAACATTAAATGGCTTTGCGTACACCGCTGCGGATTCATCTTCACTAGTATTTGGACATTTCGGTGGACGGATTGGTCATCTAAACTAGGAATCGAAAATACTAAATAGTTTAATTTCAGGAGAAATAAAAGGCTGGAACCAGTTCCAGATGATTATCGATCCTAAATGTCCAATACTACCCATGTTTTATCATACCTTTTTTTTTTTATCTGAGGGTTATGATTATCATTTCAATGTTCCTATGCAACAAAGAAAGGCTGCTTCTACTAGTTGGTACCTTCTGTGTGTGATGGTGCTCACCTTAAAGCCAAGTTTCTGGAGACAGCGAGCTAACCTGCGAGCACCAAGCTTTGCCTCTTCCTCACTAGATAAGAAAGCAGAGAGGAGGAGTTTTAGAAAGCATAAAATACAAAAGAAATAACCCTGTAGAAGATTAAAAAATTATAAATCAATTTACCAGATTTCCACAAACAGTATAAGAAAATGTACCTATACTCTCCTTTTATCAAGGAAGACCGAATTTTAGATTTTGATATTATTTCTGATAAAAAATTAGGTATGGACACTACTGTGAAATCTCACTGCAAGTAAAAATAACAGTATTTATAGATCCTCCAAAAAAAAGTAAACATAGAGGTTACGCTTCCTTTTGCGCCTAAAATGATCTACCAAATCGGTACATAGCAAATTTTAGCATCAGTGTTATTACCCAAAACACATGGACCAACAACAAGATAGAATTCAACATTGGTTAAAGAAAAACAACAAATATGAGTCCAGTTTTACTTGTTTAACCAGTGAGTCAGAAATGTGACCAAAAACATCTGAAACAGACATTAATGTAGATATAATCAATCCTTCCTAGTTTTTACAGACAAAATGAAATCCAGCACATCTTCGCTGCTAATTGTGGGAATCAACCCTAAAGAGCTGGTCAGCAGTGCCTTACATTTCACACAGCTGGAGAAACCTACAGTCTTTTGACACTTTCTACTGTTGAATTCTTATTATCATGGCTGAC